AACATTGAAAAAAGAATCGGGAATATGGTTTACATAGTACAGGGACCCAAATTCTCACACAAAAGACACGTAAACCAAATAAGAAAGAGACTGTTAGAGGACTCTAACGGTCCACCTCAGGAAGAAGTGATAGATACGATTTTCGATACATTTGATATACAAAGGCCGCAAACAATGCAAGAACCACGAAAATCATCCAGAAAAAGGACGTTCACAGAACTTTTGGTAATAGATCCAAAGAGAAAAAAAATATTAAAAACCCCTGCTACGCAAAAGCTTCAGAAGTGGGGGGGGGTTTATAGGAACTTACCAATAATAATAATGGACTATTCCTGACATTATAAATACTGCGCCTCTCAAGAGGTATGGGCAGATATTGTAAAACGAGGAGAGATAATTGAGAGCATATTGTAAGGACATTGGAATAGTGATACTTGTTGAGACAACATAGTTCACTCTAACCAAATCTGATAGTCATTACTAATACTTCTACTTCTTTGTATTACATTTCTGTTGTAATATATCTTTGTATTCCATACCTGTGTTCGTGTTATTCTTTCATTGGTTCTAACCTTGGACCATCACCGTGGTACAAGGAACTTGAACCATAACAGTAACCCCTTGTGTACTAGTGGCACCCATACTTTGCTTGGGGTGAAATGTTTATAAAAATAAATAAATAAAAAGTAAATGCGTCTTTTCCGAAATAAAAGGAAAAGACACAACCCCTTTTTAATTTTTTTTTTGCTAGAAATCATTGAATTATCTAATTTAAATTTAAGTTTTCAGCACTCATTCGTTAATGAATGCCTTGTATACTGAATAAGTTATTTTATTAAAAAAGTTTGTAGAAATATTGGGAAAGAGACTGTTTCAGTACTTCGTGAATACTATTAAAATTGCAATGTGATAAATATTTTTATAATTTTATAAACGTAGTCACTGAAGACATTTAAAGAAATTTTTGCAATATCAAGTCAGAAAATCTTGAAAATTATCTTGAAATTTTGCAAAAATAATTCAATAAAACTGAAAATATGTTTTTTGTTGAGAGTTGGTGACTACATAATTCAATAAAATACATTTTCTTTCAGATTTAACAGAGGGGGAAAAAATCTCTAAATGAGTATTTATTTTTGTACTTGTAATTTTTCATTGTGGTTTTGGAATCACTTCCAGATGCTGTTGACAAAAGAAATCCTTTTCGTCAAATAGAAAATCGTTTTTAAAAAAATAAAGATAAGTAAAATTTAATGCCATTTTCACATCAGGAATATTTTTAAAAGAATTTAAAAAAAAATTTTCAAAGGTTTTAGATTATTTTTAGTACAGAAGTTCAAAAAGGAAATAATTCCTAATTACCTCCTTTGACTATTCTTCTCCTTCGAAAGAGTCAGTAATATATGATATCAATTTACTATCTATTGTTTTTCATCAGTCTTTTCCAATCCATCGATACGAGTGTATTTTTTTTTTTTCACGTGTCTGTGTTTTCTGGCTTATTTAGTAAATTATTTATTTTTTTTTTTTTTTATATCTGGTGGTAGGATTTGTATTGTTTTTAAAATTGTATAGAATAAAAAAATATATTATTCTGTAACTATTGTTTATAATGAGACTAAAAAGACAATTTATTTTTAAATACCAATTTTTTATTATTGCGCTGCTGGTGTGCCGTAATTCTTTAATTTTTTCACGTGCCGCGAGATGACAAACAGAAAAACTTGTGTTGTTGTACAGTGTAACCCGGATATAAGAGAGTTGTCGGGACCAGAGAAGAAGTCTCTTATATCCGGGTTTCTCTTATATCCGGGTTTGGTCTATATTAACACAGGCTCTAATTTGGGACCAGAGAAAATCTCTCTTATATCTGGGTTTCTCTTATATCCGGGTCTCTTATATCCGGGTTATACTGTACTATGACTTTGATGACAACTTATAGTGGGTTATTTATGGGGTTCGATTTGGGCCTTGTTAGGATTAGCCTACTAAAAGGGATTTTTATGAATGAGAAAATAAAACACGATAAGCTACATCTTAAGAACAATCAAGTCTGGAGTATAATAATAATAATTTATATAAAAATTAATAAGTAGTTTTGTATTGTACAAAACAGTAGTAATGTTCTGACACAAGGTTGGTATTTAAGTAAGATTTTAAATAAAATGTTTTTTTGTTGTTAATTTCAATGAATACAAGAGTTTCTAAAAGTACTAGTGTTTTTCAAAGATGCTAGTTTCATTTGGTAATATGTCCTGTGAATAAGAAAAAAGAAAGTAGAATGTATGAGATAAGTAAAGGTGGGTGAAAATGACGAGGAAGGTGTGAGGAGTGGTAGTGGTTGTTGAAACCGAGATTCCTTTGATGTATCCGCTCACAGTTGTAAGTGTTCGTCTCTCTGTGTGTCTCCTGTTGGAATCTCTTCTTTTATTCCTTTTAGATGGGGGGGGGGTCTATTTATATTGTTAGAGAAGTTGAAAGAGGATCCGAATAAGTTGTTGATTATTTCAAACGCCCTCAATTGTTATTGGTCAACATATATCTATTTAGGATTGTAGTTCAGCAACTTCAACTGGAAGTTATACGTGGAGCCTATTGCGCAAAACCCGAAATATGCCATTACGTTTTAAGCTATGAAAGAGGTAACTGTCTGTTTCTGCTCTTAGTGTCACTACAAACTAACAGGCTACCATCTATATAATAAGTGCGAATGTCAGTATGTCACACTTTTTCAACTTTACCCCTAGAGGCCGTAGCCCAACGTATAATATAATTGTGGAATCAGGGAGACTCCGTGAGCAAATTAAAATCATTCTGACTGAATCTGGAAAATCCTGAAATTTTGGATTCCCTGATTTTCATTACTGCGATTTGGCGATTTTTTTTTACGTGATTTTTTTATTTATTTATTTTTTGCGACGGATTTTTTTGTACGATAACCAATTTTTATATGTTGGAAATAAATTTTGGAATAATCGAAATTAATTGCGAAAGTCACCCATGAAACAGAAATAATTGTTTGTACGTAAAGAACCTGATTTTTTTTTTTTTTTTAACAGGGGCTGGCAATTCGTTGCATTCATTTCGGAAAAACGCATCATTTTTCAGTTTATATCTGACGAAAACGGTTGGGTTGGGTTAGAGACTATTTTATTTCGCGTATTCATACAGATATGCGCAATAATTTATTTTTCCATTTCAACCTATTATTTAAAAATGAGCTTTTGTCATTTTAGTTTAATTTTACGATGAAGTAATTTTATTTCTGTCTGTTAATAATACACATTTATTGTCTTGATAAAAAGCCAAAGCAAAAAGGAGAAAAAATTCAATAATGTGACAAAAAAAACTCGCTACACATTCTACGTGGGATCGCGCCTTTTCAGGCGATTCCGAAAAGAGAAATAAAAAAGTTAATCACTTGGAGAAATAAAAGTAATTCTCATTGTTGCAGTGCATTTAGTAACACGAATTTAAACTATGAATTGAGTAAAACGAAAAACGAAAGAAAATCAACAACAAAACAAGTCACGATTTTCATCCTTTTTTTTTACTTAGTAAAATGAAAATCGTTAGAAAAATCACATGAAGAAATAAGCAATTTTACAGGTACAGTCACATTTAGAAATATTTTATCTTAACAAAGTAAATGTTTTTAAACGTTGCATTTATTCACCACTTAATTTAGAATAAATAATGTATTTATATAAAAATTAAATTTTTTAATCTTTTTTTTTAAACAACACAATAGTTATTTTGTGAATATAATCAACAACGGCTTTTTTTCGTACGAATTTATAAAATTGCCAGTTTTCTCCCCAAAGATGAATAATATTTGTCAATAAATCATTTGGAGTGTATTCATAACAAAAAAGTTTTAAAAAATAAAATTAAATGTGTAAAAAAATGAATCTAAACCTTTTTGATTTTTATTTACAAAATTCTTTTGTTAATTTGCAGTATAAGCACTAACCTCTTGCGTAAAAATAATATTATAAAATAAGTACTAAACTTTGTAATTTAAAAAAAAAATGTATTTTCTTATGCCTAAAAAAATAATTTGCAGTATAAACACCAAAAGCCCACAGTAATGAAAATGTTCCATTGTGGTGTGAAATTGTCTGATTATTTCGAAAATGACATTAAAAGTCAGCACTCTATTACCGTTCAGGAGTTATGGACAATGTGAGTTCGATTTCTTTTGCGTCACGTCGACAAAACGGCTGCCATTACTGGCTTTGTTACATAAGTTTGCCTCAAATAATAATGCGCGGAGGCTTCACTTGTCTTAATTACTACGCAGTGCGCGGAAACGTCAATTATCTCGATTACTGCGCAACGCGCAAAATTCACTTAAGAAACAATACTTTTAATTGTAAAATGGGAATTTATACCAATTAAAAAAAAAACTATTCCTTTAAAGCTTCATTTAAAAAAAAATAAAGCGCATTTTAAAATAACTTTCGCGAAAATTTCGCAGTAATGAAAAAACGAAAAGTATTAATCGAGATACGAAAAGCAGTAAAAAGGCTGTTAAACTTCCGCGGATTACTACTGGAGGCAAATGTATGTAAACAATGCCAATAATGGCGGCCGAACAACGCGAAAGAGATCGAACTTACATTGTCGATAAATCCGAAACGGTAATCGTGCGCAAACTTTTATTGTCATTTTCGAAATATTCAGGCAATTTCACAACATAATGGAACATTTTCATAACCGTAAGCTTTATGATGTTTATGTTGCAAATCTAGTTTTAGAAGCCCTGGACACTTCATTTGTTTCCTCATTTAAACTTTTTTTTTCTCAAAATTGAACAGGTTTCCGAAGAAATTTCGCAAAAGCAGGACAAACTACAATACATCGATAACATGAAAAAAATACATATTCTATCGAAAACTATTCATTTACATAAAGTTGAAGGAAACACCCGCCTATGTCGAAATTGTTAATAATGAGAAAAATAGTTTCAAGCAATTTGTAAAGAAGAGAAGACTCACCCACTAATTAAAGAACAGTGTTTTTTGGGAGGATTTGCTGATTGATCACACATTTTTTAACCGTTTTGTTAAAGAGTTTTCTTTTCCAAAACAAAGACCTTCGATTTTACAAATTCAAACGTAGTGTGAAAATGATAATCGTTGTTGCTTTCACATAAAACTACATACACACCGACAGCTGTTCGAGTCGGAAATGAAAGATTTTCTCTTTTTTTATCTACTTATTTTCAGGCAAACAAACAATTCAGAATCTGGATTTGGATTGGTGGTTCATATTTCATAATGATGTTATTTATAGTTCAAAACAAAAACTTGTTTCACTGCATTAAAAATCTTTTTTCTTAATTAACGCAGACTTGTTATAAAAAATACAATTTTACATACCTATTTTAATTAATAATTTTAATTTTCTATTTTAATTGCAAGAGGAATAGAACAATAGAAATATTGTAAAAAAACGTAAAGTGTATTATTGTGTAATAAAGTTTTTAGCCATTGGCATCTCTAGTGTTTTTGCCGCCCCTGCCCAGAAGGAATACAATATTACAATGCACATTAACCCCTTAAAGTTAATATATATATATATATATATATATATATATATATATATATACACACACATGTGTGTATGTATGTGTATGTACATATGTATGTATATATATGTAATGTATGTATATATATATTTGTGTGTATCTATGTATATATATATATATATATATGTAATATATATATATGTATATTATATATATATATATATATATATATATATATATATATATATATATATATATATATATATATATATGTATATATATATATATATATATATATATATATATAATATATATATATGTATATATATATATATGTATGTAATATTATAAATTAATTGATTTAAAATATGTTTTTTTTTCGCTACACAGTTCCAACCATGTTTCAAAAATAGAAGCTAAAAACCCCGAATTTAATTTTGCAATTAAATAAAGCATTAGTTCCATTTCATCTTCAAGCGAATTTTTTAATAATATATATATATATATATATATATATGTATGTAATATATATATGTATATAATATATATGCAATATATATGTATGTTATATATATATGTATGTATATATATATACATATATATATATATATATGTATATATATATGTGTGTATATATATATATATAATATATATATATATATATACTGTATATATATATATATATATATATATATATATATATATATATATATATATATATATATATTTTATTAAAACATTTTTATGTTTAACGTTCTTTTTTATAAAAATGTCTTTAATAAAATAAATTGTCGGACTTTGTCCATTTCTTAATATATATATACAGTCAAGGACGAAATTACTCATATACCCATCAATTTTTAATATTTTTATCTATTTCTTAGAACAGTATCATGCCAGGTTTTTTTATATCTTAATAAGCACACAAAAAAGAATATATATATTTTTTATGTATTTGATACATAATTGTGACAAGGCTGAAGACGGGGAGTAGGTGAAGGATAGTCATCAGTAATTATCCTAGTCCTAATTATTTATATAACTCCTCAAAAATTATGAAATAAATGTATAATTGTGTTTATTTATTATTTTAAAATAAAACTGGGGATATGTAAAAAAACGAAGACTTTAGTTCTTTTTTTTCTATTAAAAGATAACTTGTTTTTTTTATATACCCTCTGTTTTATTTAAAAGTAAAACAAAAAACACATTGTACTTTTAATTCATAATTTATCAATTTAAAAAAAATATTTATTTAAATTCTAACAAGTGAGGAATCATAAATGCAACGTTAACAGAAACACGGTTCGTTTTTCTTTTAACAATGTAAAAATTGCAATGTCTTTTAAAATTATTTTGTTTTACGTGGCAAAGTAGTAAGAAGAATTAAAAGTTCGATAAAATTAATTTCACTTTTAAAAGCTGAAATCAATGCTACTTTTAATTCTTAGTCTATTTTGCTTTATAAAATTTCAACTATCTAAACAAAAAATAAAACATTGCGTTATTTTACTGCCGTGAAAACTTGTAAATTTATAAATTAAAAAAAAAATGCCCATTTTTGGACTTTAATAAAGTTTCTGCACTGAAAAGAAATATATTAATTTTCAATTTTCTTTTATTTCGGGAAAAATGGAATGCAGGCGATATCCTTTGGAATTATATTTCAATTTATTTATCTATTTTATAATTTATGAAACATAACGATTTTATATCCGTATTAATGCTAAACCTATAAAAAATATTGGTTCACTTATTTAATTATTTTTTTCACTAACAATTTACAGACATGAAAAATTAAAATCAAAGAACTGACGCTAAGTCTGGATTTGTCGCATAGGTGTGAAAAAACTGTGAATTCACTAAATTCACGTAATCCAACACCACATCAATCCCTTTAAAAATGTTCAAATTTTATTCACACCTTTTGCTCACATAAGTGGGATTTATCCCCACCAGCTGACGCACCGCTGGTTTTTGGAGACATTTTTTTTTATTGCTTGCTAGCTGGCTTTGAGCTCTAGTCATATCAAAGACAAATTGGCTTTATTTGATCCCTATCTTCTTCCATATCGCTGCTTTTTTTTTTTTTTTTTTTTTAAAATTATTGAAGTTATGCTATTGTTTTGTTTTGTTTTTTCATTTCTGAAAAGTGAAAACCCACCGTGGACCAAAAGTGCCACCCAGGGTGGATCGCCCCCTAGCTGCATCACTGTTTTTAGCTGTTGATAATTTATTTTAAAAATATTTAAAAATTCCACTCTAATCCGATTTACGCCATACTATCATCAACATGTCAGGCTAAAGTGAAACTTACGGCCATATCACGATGAAACACAGGTTCCAATTCTAGTCCGGTTCGTTATAGTCACTTACGCGCAAATACTCAAATAGTTTTTACTTTATGAATCTGCCTCTGCACCCCGAGCTATGGGTTAATTAGTTAGTAGGGCTTATACGAGTAATCATTATCTAAAAATTGATCATTTCTGTTAATTCACCCTAATGTAAAAAAGGATTTATATTTACTAAAATCCACACCAAATTCTCCCACAGTGAGGCTCTTCCATTGGGCCCTAAAAGGAGTGCAATGGAAGCGCCTCGCTCTGGGAGAATTTGACCTTTTTGACATTTGCGACCGTCCCAAATGTGGCCAACTCAGGTGCACTGTTTATAAGTGTGGGATCTACATTCGCACCCAGCCCGATAAACAATCTAAAAACAGATTTTTTAAAAATTTCTTTTAAATTATAAAAAAAAAATCCTTGTATATACTTCAAATATTATCCGCACTTACGAAATGTAAATAAGTCCTTGATTTTTTTTTTTTTGTTAATTTTTAATTCTGAGGGTTGGAGTTGTTGCGAGGCAAGCTAAACAAAATTATAATTTCAAAAAGGTTGCCAAAAATTAAAAAATTAAAAAATAACAAACTTTGATTTAAAACCTATAATTTTAAAAGAGTGCCAAAAATTTAATAAAAATATAATAACAAAAAACAAACTTTGATTTAAAAAATAAATTCTTGGGGTGAATTAATTTGCGATAATTAACTTTAGTTTTTACAATATTATTTGGGGTGAATTAGCACAAACAAAAAAGATTTTTAAAAATCTTACAATCTAAAAATATCTTCTGCATTTTAACATGCAAAAGGAAAGGTTGATAAGACGTAAAAAAAAACTAACAATCAATCAATCAAATTACTTTTTTGAGTCAATTTTTAAAACCTTAGCAAAAACCAAAAATAAAGTACCCGTCTTTTCCGACCAAGATTACTGTTAGTGTTAATGTAAGTTTTATTTTTTTACTGGATTCTGTTTTAAAATATTGAAAATAATAATACTACTATTCCTAAACGCCTATGTGGTAGTGTTCTGGATGATTGAGCAATAAAAACAACATAATTTCATACAAAAATCTTATATTACGAGATATCACCAGATATGATAATTGATAAACTCGTACAGTTGGGAAAACAACAATGCGATATTTTTTAATTCTTTAAACAGTTTTTTTTACTTTGCATAGCAAACCGGAAAAAAACAATATGCTCGACAATTTTTAGACTAGAGGAGGAGGTAGCTGTGGAAAGTGATACACACCTAAGAAAAAAAAATCACAACTAAACAAACAAGCAAATTCTTCTGTTTTTTCGGCAACAATTACAAAATACTTTTCAATAATACTTTTCAAAATAAATTTACGACAATAGATACATCTTTTTTCGTAGTTAAGTCTTTGAATAAAAATAGGTACCTCCTTGAAATCGCAAAAAATGAGCATATAGCATTATCTAAAAGACGCCAAAATTAACGAAAACAAAATTTTATCGTCTAAAATAAATGTTTATGCTAAGACTAAGAGGAAAGGACAAAGTATTTTTTAATTATTTCTATTTTTTTCCTTCTTTTTAGAACATTCTCTAAAATTTTGATTGAAAAAATCCTTTTTTGAAAAGTAACATTTTTAATGTAAAAATATGTTATTTATTTTAATATTCAAAAATATTTTTAAAATATTCCAATTTTTTTTTCAGATTTTAAACATTTATTCTTTGAAATTACAAAAATAACTTTACATATGTAAAAATGTATTGAAAAAATTGAATATTTTTCGAATTTGTAAAAAAAATACTTTTAAAAATATTTCATATTTTTACATTTATTTTCATTTATAGGATATTTTTCATTTTCATTTTTAATTTTTAATTATCTACAACATTTGAGTTGTAAGAAGAATAAACCGATAAGAATTGTGAAATACAATTATTATTTTTTTTAATTATATATTGTTGATAATGATTCATTAATCTGATATAACTGAAACATTTATATATTTTTTAATTTGTAGTAATAAATCATTACATTAATTGTTTGTAATATTTCTTGGTACAAACATTTTGATGGTACCAAGAAATATCATGCATCTATTTTGTTTCAAAAAATAGATGCGATTTTTCTGAAATCAGTGCAAAAAAAATCAGAGAATTATTATCTGATTCAAAGGAAATTTTCAGT